TATTTCAGTAGACATTTCTCCAAACAAGATAAATGACCAATAAACATGTTAAATGATGTCTAACATCACTAGCCATCAGTAAAATGCAAATCAAAACCACAGTGAAATATTACTTTCTACCCACAAGGAAGGCTACAATCTAAGTGACAGATAATAGCAAGTGTTGGTGAAGATTTAAAAAGCTGGAACCTTCAGACACTATTGGTTGGGATATTAAAAAAAATACCATTACTCAGGAAAATAGTCTGGTATTTCCTCAGAAGGCTAAACATAGTTACTATATGACATAGCAATTCTGCTCCTTGGGAAATTAAAATGTATATCCAAAACAAAAATGTACACCCAAATGTTGTTATAAACATTTGGTTATATTCATAACATCCCCATGGTAAAAATTACCCAAATGTCCATCAATGAACTAATAAACAAAATGTGGTATGGTGTAATATTATCCAGCAATGAAAAAGAATGAAGGATTGATATAAGCTACAGCAAGGATAAACCTTGAAAATATTATGTAAGTAAAAGAAGCCAGTCACAAACAAACATAAATTATATCCTTCCATTTATATTAAATATCCAGAATATGTAATTGTTATGGTCTCCAAAAACTCATGTATGAGATAATACAAGAATGTTCAGAGGTAAATGATTAGATTAAGAGGTGTAACCTAATCAGTGGTTTAATTCACAGACATGGATTAACTGAGTGGTAACTGTAGGAATATAGGGTGTGGTTGGAGGAGATAGGTCAATAGTGGAATGCCTTTGGGGTTTATATTTTGTCTCTGGTGAATGATGCTCTCTTTTCTTTCTGATTGCCATGTCTTAAGCTGCTTTTTATCCTCCACATTCTTCTGCCATGATGTTCTGCCTCATCTTGGGCTCAGAGTGATGGAGTCAGCCATCTATGGCCATCTATGAAGCTCTGAAACCATGATCTCCAAAATAAACTTTTCTTTTTCTAAGTTCTTATTGAGTCTTTTGGTCTTAGTGATGAAAAAGCTGATTAAAACAGAAATTGGTAAAAAGACTAGGGTCGTTGCTGTTACTAATATAACCATATGGTTCAGAAGTCTTTGGAGCTGGTTTGTGGGGGAGGAATTTTTAAAAGTTTAGAGATACAAGCCAGAAAAGCTTTAGAACTTTGGAAGGGAAGCTAATGGGGGAGTTGGTGGTAGCTCAGGAGATTAAAATGCCAAATGGACTATGGACAGTAAAGACTGGGCTCATGGGATTTCAGAGGGGAAGGAGGACTCTGTTGGATATTGGACTAGAGGCCATTCATGTTATGTTCTGGAAAAAAAAAAAAAAGTCATCTACATTTTGCCCATGTCCTGAGATTTTCTGTGAGAATGAATTAAAGGTGATGGACTTCTTAATCTTGTGAAAGAATTTCTATGCAGCCCAGAATTCAGGTGGTGGCATGGATAATATTGCTGGTAGCTTTTAGTCAAATTTACTGTGATAATCAGCAGAAAGCAGAGGAGAAAGATTTGAAAAACTTTAAATTTGGCCAGAAAAGTAAGAGTAAAACTGAGGTTGAGAAAGTTGTGGTTGTTAAAGACATTACAGCCACTAACAGGATGCTAAATATTAAGAGACAATAGGAAAGATGATTTGAGGGCACCTCAGGAATTGGCAAGACCACACCCATTTCAGGCTCAAGGGTGTAAAGGTAAAAATTCCTGCTGGACAAAGTGGCAAATGCCTGTAATCCCAGCTGTTGGGGAGGCTGAGACAGGAGATTCACAAGTTCAAAACAAGCCACATCAATGGCGAGGTGCTAAGCAACTCAGTGAGACCCTGTTTCTAAATAAAATACAAAATAGGGCTGGGGATGTAGCTCAGTGGCTGAGTGCCCTTCAGTTCAGCCCCCATTAAGCCTCCAAAAAAATTCCTTTGAGAAGAGACCAGTGGAGCACTCTGCACAGCAGGCTTAGGAAGGTGTTTCACTAAGGGAAGCAACCCAGGCATTCAGAGGCTGCTGCAGCCATGATCCAAGAGTCTTGGCTACTGCTCAAGATGGTGGCAAAACTTTCAGTCAACTGCATGATGCTGGGTCCACAGGAATGCAGAATGTTAGAGTTAGGGGGTCATGGAGGCTTCCACTGAGATTTCAAAGGAAGACCTGGAGGCCAAGCAGAGTGCATGAGGGTCAGAGACCCAATAGGCTGCCCCTGAGAAGGTAATCATGAAAATTTGGGAAGAAGATGAAGCTTCAGTGGAGACCCCTGAGATTAAAGGTGCCAGTAATGCGGGATGTCTATTCGGGAAAGCTGCAGAAATCAAGCAAAAACAAATCAAGAGTCCAGGGCTGGAGATGTGGCTCAGTAGTAGAGTGCTTGCCTATCATGTGGTCCTGGGTTTGATCCCCAGCACCACAAAAATATAAACCAAGAGGCCATGGGGGGCTACATCCAGCAAGGTCATAGGAATAGAGCTACATAAGGCCTTTGGAGAGAACATCAGGATATTGTGTGCCCCAGATGCTGGATATGGTGCTACAAGACTTATTACCCTAGCTAGATTTTGGTCTTGCTTTTGTCCCACCCCTTCTTTTTATGCCCCTATTTCTCCCTTGTGGAATGGAAATATTTACTATGTGCCTTTATATATTGGATATCTGTGTCTTGCTTTGGGTCTTTATAGGAGCTCACGCTGAGAGTTTGTGTTGAGTCTTAGAGGAGACTTTGGACTTGAACTTTTGGACAATATTTGAACTAAGGGGACTCTTGGAAATGGTCTAAATGTATTTTGCATTGTGAGATGGACATGAGCTTCTGGGGACCAGGGGTTGAATGTTATGGTTTAGATATCAGGTATCCCCCAAAAGCTCATACATAACATCATGCAAGAATTTTCAGAGTTGAAATGACTGGGTAATAAAAGCCTTAACCTAATCAGTACATAACTAATCAGTATAACCCCATCAATATGGATTATTGGATGGTAACTATATGTAGGTAGGGTGTGGCTAGAGGAAGTATGACACTGGGCCTAAGGGCTTTATATTTTGTCCCTGGTGAGTGGAGCTCTCTCTGCTTCCTGATTTCCATGTCCTGAGCCGCTCTCCTCCTCTGCAGCTTTCCACCATGATGTTCTACCTCACCTTGGGACCAGAGCATGATTTGAGACCTCTAACATTAATATTATGAGTGACCAATAAACTTTTCCTCTTCTACACTGTGTTTTTTTTTTTTTTAGAGAGAGAGAGAGAGAGAGAAAGAGAATTTTAATATTTATTTTTTAGTTTTCGGTGGACACAACATCTTTGTTTGTATGTGGTGCTGAAGATCGAACCCAAGGCCGCACGCATGTCAGGCCAGCGCGCTACCACTTGAGCCACATCCCCAGCCCAACACTGTTCTTATCAAGTCTTTTGGTCACAGTGGAAAAAAAAACCTGACTAATACAGTAATTCTATAGAAACAAAGTAATTGCCTAGGAATGGGTAGTTGGGGAATGACTGCTAATAGTTACAAGGGTTTCTATTTGGTGTGATGAAAATGTTTTAAAAGTGAATATGATGATGGCTGCACAACTCTGAATATACTAAAAAACATTGAATAGTACATTTTAAATGAATGACTTGTATGGTATGTAAATTATAACACAATAAAGCTGTTGTATTAAAATAAAACTACTAGGCATTAAAAGAAGCAAGAAAGTATACCTCACAATGAGGAGAAAACTCAGTTTATCTGAATCAACTCAAAACTGATACAGATATTAGAATTGGCAGAGAGAGAGAGAGAGAGAGAGAGAGAGAGAGAGAGAGAGAGAGGGAGAGAGATATTAATAGCTATAATTGTGCTCCATGTGTTGAAGAGTTAAGTAGAGACATGGAGAATATCAAGGTCCCAAATCAAACTCCAGAGTGAAAAATGCACCAATGGAATTAATGGCAGATTAAATATTAAAGAAGAAAGATTTGTGAATTTGAAGACAGAGCAATAGAAACTATCCAAAATAAAATGCTGAGAGGAAAAACAACTTTTTTAATATTTATTTTTTAGTTGTAGTTGAACACAATACCTTTTATTTTATTTATTTATTTTTATGTGGTGCTGAGGATCAAACCCAGGGCCTCGCATGTGCTAAGCGAGCGCTCTACCACTGAGCCACAATCCCAGCCCAGGAAAAACAATTCGTAAGACCATGAGCAGAATATTAGTGAACTGTGGGACATATACTGATCAGTATGAATGTAATTAGAGATTAGGAGGAGAGGAGAAGAAGAGGGACAGAGAAAATACTTAAAGACATAATGGTCAAAATTTTTGTAGATTGGACCAAGAAGCCCATACCAAGACACACATCATAATATAATTGTTCAAAAGCAGTGATAAAGAAAATCAGAAAAGTAATCAGAGAAAAAAGACATCCTAGCATATCCACACTGTATATACTACCCTCCTGTTAGAAATTAATAGCCCTTGACTATTGAGACATTTTAGTGCTTGTATTAAAGTAACCCTTAGTTTGCTTAATAATGCCCAAAAGCACAAGAGAACTGTTGCTGGCAATTTTATTACAGTATATTGCTGTATTACAGTATATCGCTATTTTATTAGTAGTTACGTCATTAATCTCCTATCATGCCCAATTTATAAATCAAACTTTTCTATGTATGTATAGAAAACAACATAATATACGTAGTTATGATGCTATTTGCCCATCCTCTAGGAGTTTTGGAGTACATCCCCACAGATAAACATGGACTATTGTGTGAATACATGTGTGTGTGTGCCTTTTTAGGACTCAGCAAAATTGCTTCTACCTGGTCTGGAGTTGTGGGTGGCCCTCAAAATCCCCAGCAATAGCCACTAGGCAGTGCAGCTTTGGGTTGGTGTTCTCTTTTTCAAAAGCCTGGCTGGTGGGGCTGGGGCTGGGGCTGTGGTTCAGAGGTAGAGCGCTCACCTAGCATGCAAGAGGCACTGGGTGCAATCCTCAGCACCACATAAAAATAAAATACCTAAATAAAAAAAAAAAAAAAAAGTCTGGCTGGCCTCTGAGGTCCGTGCTAGCTCCAACGTCTGTGGCTCTGTGAGCCTAAGGATGAAAGGAGAGCCCGGGGCAAACAGTGACAGCAGACAGTTAAACCAGACCAGATTTCCAATCCAAACCCTGGGGCCAAGCCTGAGCCACTTTAAATTCCATTAATCTATCCCTGAGTGTTTGCACAGCAAAGAACCTGTTGTACTTAAAGTCCTGATCTTGTTGCTGGGACCAGGGAGGATGAGAGAGGACAAATATTGACACGGGCTGCTGGGTTCTTGCTCCAGCCTGCTCTGCCTCCTTAGGCTGGGGAGGGCCTGCCAGGCTGCCCTGCGTTGCTGTCTCTGGGGGCCTGCATAAGCAGCGCTGTTGGGAGATTGCTATGGCACCTGCTCCTTTCTGAAAGGAAAAACCAATAAACAGAGGAATAAACACAGGTTCTGCCAACATCAGCCACTTCCTGTTTACAGGCTGTGGCTCCCTGGCTCCCCATTCCTGGCTGGGAAGACCAGGCTGTCTTAGAGTGAGACATCAGGAGGGCTGTGATGGGCTGAGAATTGGGGCCTGTTTAAGTTTAGCTCCTGGCTCTATCCTGAAGGCTATGTGATGGTAAGCAAGCAGCTTCATCTCTCTGTGCCTCTGGAAGGGTGTGAGTAATAAACCAGGTTCTTGAGAATTGGAGGAAATGATATTCCAGAGACAAGGCTTGCAGCAGTGCCAAGCCTGGACTAAGTGCTCACTAAACACTGCAGCTAATACTCCCCAGAGCCTCCAGCACGGCTCTTGGCAACCCTTCTTCTGTTTCCTGATGGCATTCGTATTCTGGATCTCACTTTGCCCTCTTGGCGGGGCTGTGAGCTAACCTGGTGCTCAGTCATCCTTCCTGAGCCTTGGTTGCAGCCACTTCACCCCCTCAGACAAGGTTCCTCTCTGCAGCTTGTGCAGTCTGGGCACAGGGAACACTTTATGCTCCTTTAGTTACTGGTGCCCTCCCTGCGCCTGGCTGCCTGTCCCTGCCCAGCCCCTACTCCTGTCCCAAATCCATCTGTCCTCCATTTCCCGCTTTCCTCCTGGCTCAGTCCTCTTCGAGGTCAAGGCCCTGCTCAGCCATCCCCTCTGAGCAACTGGAACCAGCTCCTGAGACAGGGGACCCCTCTGAGCAAGCTTTCCCAGCCCTCCAGAGACAGCACAGAATACTGAGCTGTCATGGCATGCGCCTAGGTTTCGGAGTCCATGCATCTGTTCTGGTCCCCACCAGAAACATGCCCTTCAACAAGCCGCCTGTCTCTACCAGTGAGAGGTCTTAAGTGCTCTAAAAGCAGTTCCGTTTCCCTGCTTCACACCCCCCACCATGACACCTCACTGGCCTTGGGATGAAGTGTGACATGCTGTGCCTACCATGCTCGGTCCCTGCTCCCCTCTCCAGCTGTCTCCTCTGCCACCCTATGCTTTGGCCACTGGCTGGGTGGACATTCCCTGGCTGAGCTGTACCCTGTCACATCTCAGTTCGCATGGACCAACTCAGGAATGTCCTTTTCCTCTACTCCACCCTCTGAAAAGCCTCCCGGCCCCCTAAGGCCAGTTAGATGCCTGAGACCCTTCACAGCCCCTGCTTGGGCTGCAGTTGGAAAGAAACCCAGCCAATGGTGCCAGAGCAGAAGGCTGACTGTCCCGCTGGCAGGACCCCAGAGGTCCCCTGTCCCAGGAACTGACTCCAGTTGCTCAGAGTCAGGGATGTGATTGTCCTGGCTCCTACAGGTCCTTCTTTGGGGCCCAGAATTTCCTGCTATCCCACCCATCCCTCTAGGGATGGTGAGGTGTGATCTCTGTAAGATTCCACATTCCTCCTGTGCTGGGACCCAGTTCTCTTCTTGGGGGGACCAGCACTCTGTTCCTGGTTTGCCCAGAGAAAGCAGAGACTGATGCATGAACAAACACATGAATGAAAGAGGGGACGAGTGACCCGGGGCTCACCAGCCTCTTCAATGCTCGTTTTCAGTTCAAAACTTACGCAAGACTGCTATCTAGAACCAATTTCATTAATTCCAATGGGGACACACCTGTCTCCTTTAACAGGAACCCTCCCCTTGAGCAGATTCCATGACTCTCTTTCAGAATAAGTGTGGGACCATTTCTGCCCCTCAAGCTACCTCTTACAATACCCCACAGAGACTGCCCCTGCCAAGGTAGGACCATATTGGTAGCGTTTAGAAAGGTCTTGAGGTTGAGGGCGCATGGAACCTGTCTGGGTACGTGGAACAGTTTCAACCTTGACTTTGCTATAAGATCCTGGGCAAGCCATTTCCTGCTCTGGTCCTCAGTTTCCTCATTTGTCTAATGGAGACATCTATCCCTACCTGCCTGGGTGCTGTGAAGCTGGAAAAGTATGCAGAGAAATGGCTCAGTCCAGCTCTGGGACCAAAATAGAGCCCTTTCCTCAAGAGCCCAGGGCTGCTCAGCTAGCTAAAGTGGCCTCCAAACCCAGCACCATCTGCCTTAGATACCAAATAGGCAGGGAGTGGCATATACTTTACTTATGTACCCCCCTTGGGGGCTAAACTCCTAGCTTGACACTTAAGTCTCAAACATTTCTTCTAAAGGGGACAAGATTGGGATCAGCAAGCCTGGCATGGAGCAGAGGACCACATTTCCTCCGAGTTGTCTCAGAGACAGGCCTAAAACCATAGGGGCAGATTCTCCTTGTCTTTGTTAGAAACTGACAACGTGATAGTGAGCTCCCTGTCACTGGAGGCATTCAAGCAGTGGCTGAGCAACTGGAAAAGTGAAGAGGCAATTCCTATTGAGATACAGTGTGTAGATCCTGCTAGATGATTTTGAAGGCTCCTCTTGCCTTTTGGTCCAGGACTTGACGTTCTTGTGAAGAGTTACCAGTGCCATTCCAACCAGCCTCTCCCGCTGGCCTGGAAGGCCCTCTCAGGGTCTGGGACAGGAGTACTCATCGGACCAGTCAGAGCAGTGCTGCACGTGGTCCTGGCAGAGAGTCCTTGGGATACAGCTGCAGTATTTGAAGAAAGTTGGAGAGCAGCGCCACCACCCAGCGTCACAGGGTGGGCATGCAGTCACTGAGGGGATAAAAGCAGGTAGAAGAACCACTGTGGTGTCCTGGAACACTCCAGGCCCCAGGGCACTCCCTAGCTCTGAAACCTGCCATAGCTCCCCATAGCCCCACCCCATCTGACATGGGCTGACTGTGTTCTTGGTTTTCTTGCAGTGGAGAGAATTGAGACTCCACTACTCAGTGTTTCCTCCCTCACCCTTCTGCATCAACTCAAGGTTGTTATTAAGGAAGACAGTAGTGCTCAAATATGAATGGCTGCTGATTCCCCCTCCCTATCACCTGCTCTACCTCCCAGCCTTACCCTAACTCCAGCTATTCCAACCCCTGAAGGTTCCCCAATGATGCCTCACAGACTTCTCTCCCTTGCCCTGTACCCTGTACCCTGTATCCTGGACTTCATGTCAGCCCCCGCCTGTTGAAACCCTGTCTATTCCCCCCGCCCCTCAGTATTGGCAATAAACCCAGGGCCTTGGGCATGCTAGACAAGTGCTCTGCCTCTGAGCTACATTTCCAGTCCCTTTTATTTTATTTTGAGACAGAGTCTCACTAAGTTGCCCAGGCTGGCCTCAAACTTGTGATCCTCCTGCCTCAGCCTCCAGAGTAGCTGGGATTACAGGCATGCACTACCATGCCCTGCTGTTGAAACCCTGGAACGTCACCTCTCCTGAGAAGCCTCCCTTGCCTCCTTCAGGGCCCAGCATTTCCTTTTGTCGTCAGCATGATGTGAGTCCTGGGGGCATCCTTATCTGACCCCTGACTGTCCCCCACTGGAATCTTGTACCAGGCCCAGGCCTGAGCATGTTTGTTGATTGAACACCGGGGAAGGGATTTAAAGGAGCAAGTCTGTGAGCACCCCACCCTGAGGCATTCAAGCAGGAGTAGAAAGCTTCTTCCCGGGATGCAGGGAAGGCAGGTAGAGTGGAACCTCACAGATTCCCTGGTCAACCTCTGCCCTCTGGCCACGGCCTGGCCACCTGCCCCGGTCCCTCCTGTGCCAGTCCCCTACCTGGGCTCAGTTCGTCTGAGCAGTCCCCGCAGTTGTTGATCCCATCACACTTTTGGTCTGAGTAGATCCAGGAGGCCAGGTCTCCACAGCGGGCCACAAGGAAGCTGGGGAGGTTCTGGGGCACATCTCCTGCAGAGGGACAGAGGAAGCAGGAAGAAGTTCACACCCAGCCATAGCTACCTCGGGGCCATCTGGAGGTGGATCATCCTGACCATTCTGGCAGTTTTCAAACTCCAGGTCACTTCCTGCTCGTCCCAGGAAGGGCACGGGTCTCGGGGGAGAGGAGGTCAAGTCCACGGAGAGGAGTACTTTTTTGCCTGTGCCTCCAGCAAGAGGCCCAGAGGGCTGCCTCGCCCTTCCTCACCCCCTGCCCAGCTCCCCACCACACCGTGACTTGCGCTCTTTCTCCTTCCAGAAGAGTCTCCTTGACACCAATTTGAAATCATTCTGCCTTCAAGTCCAGGTTCAATCTCCTTCACCTCCAGGAAGCCTCCTCCAACTGGAACGTCACAGGTGCGATTCTTGCACTTGGGTCTCAGAACTAAGCAGGTGTGGCTTACACGCCTCATGAGAGGGACCCAGAACACCTTTCTCAAAAGTGGGCTCTGTGTTAGGTGGCCGTGTGACAGGAAAACCCAAAGTTCACACAAACTGAGGCCACATCCATACTGGAAGGGAAAGATCCAGACTGGGGAAGAGACAAGTCTTTGTTCCTGGGACTGGCCCGATGCAGGCAGAAGTGTGATGGATGTTTCTGGGGCCTGAGCAGGGAGAGGGACATGGGCATTTGGTTTGTGTACACTAGTAGAATGGGAGGGATTAGGAACTGGGTCCCCTGGAGGGTGACTGTGGGAGTTCAGGGTGTGACCTAAAGAAGGGGGGCAGAGAGGAACCCCCAAGTCCATGCAGAACCACCATCACAGGAGAAAGATTGAAAGGTAGTCTCTTGGGGCAGGGGTTGAGGAGAGTGCCGGGCTGGATCCAGTCTGGGGAAGCACTGGAAACAGCAGTACTTGCAGGACAAGGCCTGCCTTTCCTTGGGAAGAGCATCTAAAGCTGGGGGCGGCAGCCCCAGGTGGCAAGTTCCTCATCCCAGGAATATGCAAGCAGAGGCTGGTTGGGGCTTCCCGCAGAGGGGATGGATAGGAGCTGGGGCGCCGACTAGAGACTCTTCAAGGTCTAGGTGCCAGGCACTGTCCCTGCCTGCTCGGCTCCACTCTCCACCTCATCAGGCTCTCTCCCCACTGGGGCTTCAGGTACTGATTCTCCCCCCCTGCTTCTCCTTTCTCCTGAGATCTGTCAGGCCTCTGGGGTGTGGACCCAGGTCTTCCCATCCATTCATCTACTGGTTCATTTAGTATCATTCCAGGTACCCATCTGTGCCAGAGGGCCCCAAGCTTAAGCAGAACAGAACTGCCCCAGGAGAACTGAGTCCGATGGGGCTGCAGAGATGACACCAGTGTGCCTAGGGCTGGGTCACAGGGAGGCACGGCAGTTGTAGGACCCTCAACCTAGTGCAGGAATCAGGGGAGGCTTCCTGGAGGCTACTTCACCCTTGAATTCTTTCTTGAAGGACAAATACAGCTCCTCTGGGAGTGGAGGTGCACAGTGAAGGCATGTACGCGTGTATACCTGACTGAGGCGGGGTGGGGACAGGGGTTTCCGGCCAGAGGCGGCCTGGGGCCTGACTTGCTCAGAGATGGTCAGGCCTCAGTGGAGCTGCAGGGAGAGATGAGGTGGGGGCCACCTTGGGAGGGCTGATCTGGGCAGGGCATGACCGAGGGGCACTCACGGCACAAGCTCTCATCCTCGTCATCACCGTGGGGACAGGTGCGAAGGCCATCACACACCTGGCTGGCGGAGATGCAGCTCCTCCGGTCCCCACACAAGAAGCCTGTCCTGTTAGTCAGCGTCACACAGGCCTGGGCCCCTGCGTGGGCAGGGGGAGGCCCCAGAGAGTCAGGGTGGTGCTCACGAGGGCAGCACTTGGGCGGGCACTGAGCCCCACCCAAGCTCCACCCTGAGAGGCTGGGACAGTGCACCGGCCCTGGACTCAATGGTGGGGATGGGTTTAAGTCCCATTGTGGCCTCCTGTCAGCCATATAACCTTGAGCAGATGACCTGACTTCTCGACCCAGGGAGGGCTTCCCAGAGGAGAGCTAAGTCTGGCACAATGAGACCCAAAGCCCATCCCCATGGGACTGTTGTGGGTGCAGTAAACGCTTCTCTGTGGACACACCTAGAGCATAGAAGGCACACAATCAGCCTTGGTCCCGGCTCTTACTGAGACTTATCTGCACTCTCCCAGGAGGTTCTGGGGACAGTGCTCCACTCAGGAAACCCCTTCCAGGGGGATCTCCTGGTAGCAGTTAGCTTGTCAGAAGCAATGTATTTGGGCTATCTCGGGAACTGTGGGTCATGATCCCTCTCATCTGGGTTCAGCTTCATGATCCACAGAACACTTTTTCAACTTCATCTCATTGTTCCCCAAGCATCCCTGAAATGTCATTGTCACCCCCCTCAGAGAGAAGAGACACCCACATATTCACCCCTAGGGCTGCTCCTAAGACTTAGGAAAGAAACCGGCAGATGAGATGGGCAGTCCCCTGGCCCCAGACTGTGCACCTGTATGTGTGTGCTCACTGGGGATGGCAGCAGGCTTGTGTGCATGTGTGTGTGTGTGTGTGTGTGCGCATGTGTGAACCACATCTCAGCTCCTGGCACTCTCAGTTAGTGTGAGAAGGCCAGCGCTCAGGGACACCAGGCTGTCACAGACACACACACAGACACCCATACTGACACATGCATACTCACACAGACATCTGCACCTACGTGCACAGTCCCACGCAGACACAGACAACAGGCCCACACGCGGACACGCCCACGCTGACACACATACCCATGCATACAGGTGCATGCAAACACACTGGCACACATGTGCACACAGGCATGGGACTGCGACTCCTTGCATATTCCCAGCTCTGCTCAGTCCCCTGTTCCTGCACAGGAATGCAGAGAACTGTGAATTTCACTCTCCCCTCTTCTTGTCCCCTTATACCCACCCTGCCTGGCGGCAGAGCCATCTCTTGGAAAGGCAGGTCTGACACCCTCCCTGGCTCAGGCCCCCTTCCCACGGGCCCCATCCAGTGTGCCACTTTTCCTGTCCTCTGGTCGCCTGGCAGGTCCTCCTCTTCATCCTTCCTCCCACCCCAGGGACCCGCACAAGCTGTTCCCTGTGCCTCGGGTCGGGTGCTTTTCCTGACATACTCTCCACTAACCAATCTCCATTTTCCCTTCTCACTTCGGTTCCCTTTCCCTTCCTCAAGGTACCCACCCTGACTCCCAGATTAGGCCAGAATCCCTGGTCCAGACTCCCCACCCCCCACTAACCGGGCCCTGGTGCACCCACTGGACCAGTGCCCACACTGCTCTCCAAACAGCCCCACGAAGGCCAGGACTGTGTTGGGTTGCTCTTCATGGAGGCTGGCTGCAGAGATGTGTGGGACATGTCCCTGTCCTCTATGGTGGAGACAGACACACAGATGGACAGTGCCACCCAGGGTGACCAGGATAGGGGAAGAGAAGTGCGGAGGCTGTGGGGGTTGAGATGAGGCACCTAACCCAGCCTCAGAGTCAGGGAAGGCTTCCAGGAGGAGGGACATCAGAGCTGGGTCTTCTTAACAACTCATAGATGTGCAAACCAAGGCTCAGAGACATGTGTACAGTGTGTTTGCGTTTGCCTCCTAAGGAATTATGCAAAAAGCACTTGCAGAAGCCAGGAAGGGCTGGGCTCCCCGTACTCTGCAGCAGGTCTGACCCCTCATGACCACCTGATGTGCGTGAAGGGAGTCCAACAATGGTGACCAGGGTGATGAGGGCCGCGAGCATTGCCATCAGGAACAGCAGGAAGGCGGAGAGGCAGGCCCCACGTCGGGAGCAGCAGGGGCCGCAGGTTGCTGTGAGGGTTGGGACACATGTTGATGCTGCAGCCAGTGGCTAGCACTGGGCCCAGGGGTCCCCTGCACTGCTCTGGCCCCAGCAAGCACCCCCTCAGAGAAGACCACGGCAGGAGAACTTTCCAGAAAGAGGGCTCCTGTGTCCTCCAAGGGGCTCTGGCTTCTCCCTGCCAACCCTTTGTCACCAAGTGCTACCCGGCTGGCCTCTGCTCCAGACCTCATCCTCCACAGTCCTCACCCGCCTATGCTCCAGGCGGCCTCCTCAGGATGCAGAAATGGAAAACTGTGCATTCAGTCCCTACTGTGGGGCGGAAGTGACATCAAGCCCTTCACAATCATTATTTCTATTTTTCAAAACCACCCTTTATTTATTTTTTTGGTACCAGGGATTGAACTCAGGGGCGCTTAACCACTGAGCTATACCAGCCCTTTTTTAATTTTGAGACAGGGTCTCACTAAGTTGCTGAGGCTGACCTTGAACTTATGATCCTCCTGCCTCAGCCTCCCAAGTTGCTGGGATTACAGGTGTGCACCACCGAGCCCAGACGACCAGAGGAAGAAACTAAAGTTCAGAGAAGCAAAGGCCCAGGTCACCCTATGAAAAGTTAGGAGTCCACACTGTCAAATGCCACAACTGGTATCCTTTCCAGGATTTTAGTTGATTGTCCATTCTGAAGCCTTTCAGTACACTGGAGTCCTAGCTCCACCTCTTCCTAGGTGAGTAACATTAAGTCACTTAATTTTTCTGTGCCTCAGTATCCTCATATGGTAAATGGGGACCATTGTATGGGTCAGTTTGATGCATTAGTGTACCAGGACAGCATTTGCACATAGTAAGTGCTAGGTGTGAGCTATTCTTAGTGTTTATTGAGCATCTATCTTGTGTATAGCAGTGATAGGAGACATCTCTGAGCTCCTAGGACTACACTTTGCTTCTTTATCCTCTCTTGCTGGCAAAATAATAAAAGAAATCCTAATTGAGGACCTTCTGGGTATCTTGCTCTGAAGAGGACACAAAGGTAACTGTGGCTCTGATTTTATTCCCCAAAATCTTATGGTTGCATTAGAAGGTGAAGCATGGACACGAGAATGAGTGTGGGCTGCTGTCAGGTCCAGGTCACAGATACCTCCAAAAAAAAAAAAGGGGGGGGGCGGGCAGGAGCAGGTTGATTCATTTCTGTGACCAGCTCTGAGGCAGGCACACAGTAGGTGCTTTGTGAATACTTTGGGAATACACTCACCCAGAGGTCCAGGGGAAGGCTATTTGGGTGAGTTTGGGTCATTTCCACTCAATCCACTCACTTGTCCCGAGCCACCTGCCAGTTAGAAGTGGACCTGGGTGGTGTCAGGTGTAAAGGGTGCTAAGAAAGTGTGGGTCAGGTGCTGAGCTACACCAAGTAGCTCCATGCAACTTCAGAAGCATGGGCGCTACCCTTGCAGGGGAGGCCAGGGAGGCCTAAAGAGGGTGCTCCAGGAGAGGCTGTGGAAGCTGGTGGATGGCCTGCAGGACAGGATGTGGGCGTGCCTTGTGCTGGGAGAGGTGACAAAAGCAGGTTGACAGGAGGCTCAGGGTAAATTTAAAGCCAATAATCCCTGCAGCCCTGGCAGGTAAACAGGGCAGGTAACCCGGGAGACAGTGCAAAGCCGGGCAAGGGGAGGTGTCCTGCTCAGCCAAGCAGTCACTTCTCAAATATTTGTGCAAGGTGAGGTCCCCGGGGGAAAGGAGAGGGGGGACTCAGTGCTGAGCCTGCTGAACTGAAGCTCTCGCCCAGGAGAAGATGACATATTGCAAAGCCCCAAAAGTTTTATGTGTCATTGCCTCCCTGGACAGATGGAGGAAAGGAAGCTGTTGTTTCCACAGTCACGCCCACTGTGAGCTAGGACTTGGAACCAGAAACATCAGTGCAGAACAGCAAAGGCCCTGGGCCGGGCACGGTGGAGCGTGCCTGTGATCTCAGGGGAGGCTGAGGCAGGAGGATTGCAAGTTCAAAGCCAGTCTCAGCAGTTTAGAGAGACCTTAACAACTTAGTGAGATCCTGTATCAAAATAAAATATAAAAAAGGCTGGGGATATGGCTCAGTAGTTAAGCACCTCTAAGTTCAGTCCCTAGTAACAACAAAAAAAAAAAAAGGCACTGGGCTTTGCAACAAGAGGGACCTTGGTTAGAATTTCAACCCTGTCTCTCCCACCTTCCAGCTGGGTGACGGTGACCTGGTTACCCAAATCTCCTAGCCTCAGCTATCTCATCTGTTATTGCTCTTAGCAACACCCCGCCCCAAAACAGCTATTCTGAGTATTGAAAGAGATGGTGCAGAGCCAGACTCATAGTAGGGTGGATTCTTTATAGCTGTGGCTGCCATCTGCCTCTCTGGGTCTGTTTTGTCATAGAGTAAACGTGGATCAAGACAGGGTACATGGAAGACAATAAATACATGCTCTTATTTCCCTTTGCTTCATAAAGGCAAAGAGAATAGCCCTGGTTGCACAGTGAGTCAGTGGCACATGATAGGTGCTAAATAATTGTGTGATCCTGGGGTGCTTGATCCCTTAGAGGTACAGAGAGTTGCCCACGTCACTCACCGAGTTAGGGATTTGACTCTGGGCTCCTTTCTCAACATACATGGGGGCATTGTAAGCAGCGCAGTGCCTGTGAGGGACACAGCACACAGTAGGTACTCCATAAATGCTTGTGCATGGAGATAATGAACAGTCCTATTAAGTAACTGACTGTCGGCATGACTGGCCAGGAAGCTGGGAACAGATGCCATCGACATGGGGGGCAGAAGGACAGTGGAGGCCTTGGACCCTCTTTGTGCCTTTGTAGCTAGCTGCTGGGCTCCAAGGCATCCCCACCCGTGGGAGGAGGCCCACAAGCCTCAGGTCCTTTACCTTTCCCTCCAGGGCGGGCTTTGGTTCCAGCAGCAGCATTGTGGGTGACATCCCCCTGCCCAAAAGAACAGAGCCTTAGGAGAGGCGGTGCCCAGCCTCAGGGCGTCTTCAGAATGGGTGGCTGAGAGCCCTAGATGAGACTCCTGGTCCCACAGCTATAACTGCGAGTGCCCCACACTCTTGCTGCTGCCTCCCTTCCACACCCTGGTGGGGTGGAATCCCTTTTCCTCTGTGGTCCACTTGGCAAACACTCATCCTGCAACTTGCTCTGGCCACTCCTCCCTGGGGCCCCGATCGCTTCCCGTCTCTGTGCACCTGGCTCCCGGCTCCCGCTCAGCACTGGCCACTTGAACTCTGGCTGGTTCACCTGCTGGGACCCCTGCTATGTGGTAGGGTGGGCTCTGACTCACCTTGGTGGCCCAGCAGGGTGTCAAAGGACCCACCTTTCCTCTCCACTCCTAGGAGCAAGGTTTGCCATCCCTAGGGCAGAAGCCAGCTCAGGGCAGCTCTTACCTGGGGGAAGATCTTATTCATGCCTCCAGCACCCAGACTTCAGGAACTGAGGCAGAGAGCAAAGAACTCAACAGGTACCCTATCTTGTCACCAGGGGCTACCTGGAGGAGGGACAGCTGGAGGCCGCACCCTCTTCTGTGGGTGGTCCCCTCCCAGCTGCCTCCCCGGCAGAGGACTGGGCAGGGAGGCAACGCTCAGTCTGACAGCAGCACTGTAGGTGAGATCCTCACTCCCACTGCACAGATGAGGAGCCCGACGTTCAGAGAGGTAGAAACCACCCTTGGGCTCCAGGTCACATAGTGGGTGAAGGGGTGAGATTTAAACTCTGTAAACTTTTTAGCGTGTGCTTTTTCCTCCATATCAAAGGTGAGACTGCAGCATCTCAAGCACCGGCTGCACCGGGGTGCCGGGTACAGGCAGAAATATCCAGAGTTACATTTCAGGGCTAGAAAGCAGGGGTCATTTTCTCATGGATGTTCTCCTGTTCAATTAAGTAGGAAATATCAGCTGAAAAAAAATATGCATTTGCCACTAAAGTTACAAAGCAAATATAGTTTTGGATTATTGTCTTTTAAAACATGGCACTGTGTGTTTTTAGTTTTCCTGAGATGGCATCCGAGGTGGGGGAAGTCAGGGAGCTCCTTCCACACTCCAGCGTGGTACGGTTTCCCCAGCAACCTACTCCACTGCTCAGGACACAGGGGCTCTAGAAGTTTGTGGGACTGGTCTAAGGACCAGCACTAAGAGAAAAGAGGTGTCACCTTCTGAAATAAGTCCGGGGGTTTCAGGCAGGGTCCCCCCGCGCACACTGTGTCTGGTGCCCCTGAGTTTTCTAACCTGTGATCATTGGGAAATAGAATCCCTGGGGGTGGAGTGGGATGCGCAGACTGGGGACAGCCCCCAAGAGGCAACAAATGACACTGGGAAGGAGTAAATCCTAGGCCTGGAGAATGGGGTTCTCATTAGGGCCCTGTCTCTGTCTCTGGCTTGGGAAAACCACTCTTTCCCTTCCATAAAATAAAGGGATAGACTGGAGGAAGGGGTGTTTGAGTTTAGGATTCCCCAGAATCAGACTCCAAGACAAGAACCAAGGGAAATGGATATAAATGGGAATGAGCCCAAGAAACGTGGGCTGGGAAGTGAGGGGAAGGGGACAGGGACAAAGGGCTTCACCAAGGGCTCGTGGGCCAGCCAGCTCCCACTGTGCTAGTGGAACGGGCCCTTCTGGGGCATCCAGGAACCCTGGTGGAGAAGACACCCCCGTGAGGTACCCGACCGGAGGCTGAGGGCATTGCAGCTTTAGTCCCCATCCCTGCTGGCCATCGATTGACAGTGGCTGGTGGCTGTTCATTCCTGGCCCACTGGCCTGAAGTAAGCAAAGAAAGGTCAGGGCTGGCAGCTGCAAGCCCACTGATGTGCCCTGAAGCAGAAGGGGTGAAGGCAATGGGCTCATGTCATTGACTGGTACAAGCTATGTGTAGCTTGGGTTCAGCAGGATTCTGAGGGCAGCTCGGTGATTGATTAGTGATGTCTGCCATGGGTGTGAGAGTGGAGCATGGCATCATCCGGGATGATAGGTCATGCCCTCCTTTTTTGACTTCTTTGATTTTATAGCCTCTGGCCTTTTTTTTTTTTTTTTTTTTTTTTTTTTTTTTTTTAAGAGAGAGTGAGAGAGGAGAGTGTTTTGTTTGGCAGAATACACATACATAAAGTATAATTTATTCTCTTAGTTTCCCACTCTTGTGGTTGCACATGATGTGAAGTTATCCTTGTT